TTAATGGAGAATATAAATGGAAGTGAAATAATTTAATTGGCATAGAGCAAATTAACCTAAATTTGACTTACACAAATAAGCCATAGAATATGAAAACTAAAGGACAACTAATTAACAATGCATTTTTCACACAGCTGTGATCTAAAAATTTTAAGTTCCAGAGGGAAGCATAATAATTGGTGAGATTTTGGATAACTACATTTGCCCAAATTGCATTCTAGATTCATGTGTGTCACTTTCAGAAATATTCATGCTCTCCCCTGTATACCGTTCAAGGGTTACTTTGCTTATTTTTGAGGCTCCTTGTTAAAATGAAAAAACAGAAATGGACAATAAACATTTTGTGAAAGGCTAGGGTGAGATGATCAGTTTTCAGATCTAAGAATGTGCGCATGGAAGTGCAATCCTCTCTACGTTTCTTGTCTTGTCACTAATTACAGCAATTCATGTAAGATGATAAACATTCTGGAAAAGTTTAATAAAAATAGAGAGAGAATAAAAGCAATGGCTTTAGTATCAAAACCCATTCTGGACCTCCTGTACCAACAGATATCCTTCCTCTCAGAAACCGCTGGCGATGACAACTTGCTCTTCCTGAAAAAACTTCTAGGTTTTGGTGTATAAATACATTGCCTAACCCTGTCAATGGGCCAGGAATGGCTGCTGTCCAGAAGGGGCAGGGAGCAAGCCAGACCACTCAGTATAGGTAAAGGCTTTATGGGCAACCCTTGTCCCTATCATGATGGATACCTCATCAGAGCAGAAATCCCTACATGCAGATTCCAGGGCATCTACCAATAGCGGCATGGCTAACTTCTGTAATGGTAGCATTTGGTTTCCCCAGCATGATTGTACATTTTGATTCCCTCCAAGGGTATGTAAACTAGGCTACCCGACATAGTCAAAGAAGCCGGGATTTAAATATCTCTGGCTTCATTAAAATAAACATGGCCGCCGCGCTGTGCCGGCTCAGCTGATCGTTGTCACAGCGCATGAGTGAAGATGTGGATCGCTCAACAAGGGAAGCCTTTGTCGACCGCTCCGTTATGTCTCGTGAAACAAGGTTTACAGGAGTGGTCGACAAAGGCTTCCCTTGTCGACCAATCCGTGTCTTGACTCGCACACTGTGCCGACGATCAGCTGAGCTGGCATAGCGTGGCAGCCATGCTTATTTTAATGAAGCCGGGGATATTTAAATCCCGGCTTCTTTGACTATGTCGGGTAGCCTAGTTTACATGCCTCTGTCAGCAAAGGCATGTAGTCTAGACATACCCCAAATGAAGTCAAGCCATAAGGCCATGCACTACCAGTGGTCCAATAAGTAACAAAATACCATCTAGACATTTTATTAGTTTCTAAGGCACTGCGAGACTATTTGTTAATGTCTATGGTTGTTTACCAAGGAATTTTAATCCTTTACCTTGAGAAGCATGAATTGTCTATTCATCTTTCAGAAGCTGCAGCAAGACCCAGCTGAGAGCAAACATTGCATTCTGTGTGCAAAGGGAATTCTGGAGGTTCAGGGGCAGTATGCTGGGGAGCTTCAGGTTATCTGTAGCCATTTTCCATGCACATCACTGGCTTCCCATCATGCTGTGTAAGTGGAGGGGTCATATAGGCCATAGACAGTGATAACTGACAGACATACATATTATATACAGGGCCCTACCAAATTCATAGGCCCTGTGAGTCAATTTCATGGTCATATGATTTAAAAATTGTAATTTTCATGATTTCAAGCTATTTAAATCTAGAATAGTTATTGGCCCAAATTTGGTTGATGAGATAAGTGAGGCACTGATGAATAGTCCCTTTTTCTTTTGTATGCTTTTAAAACAAGGGTCAAGATTTCCCAAAGAGACTATGATTTTTGGTGGCTCACCTTCTGGGTGCTGATCACCCACTCTCTGCAACAAGCAGACCCCTTCAAAGCACCTCAAGGTGGATGCCATTTCACAAATACTTTCCTCCTAACCTACTGAATTCCTTAAAGTAACATAAATAACTTCCCACAGACATACAGAACTAAAAGTATACATGGGACTGCTGGAAAAAAGTGTCGGAGTGTGTACTATGGTAACAGCACATGAGCTAGGAAATGCTCTCACAGAAACTGGACACTGTTTTCTTTTTAAAGAACAGAGAAGGAAATTGCCATCACATTCCTAATGCTTATGTTTATTATGAAAGTGTCTCCAAATTAAAATCGTTCACAATATCGTTCCATATGAAAAATAAAACCCAAAAACAAAACACAAAGTAACTTCTAAAGTTTTACACAATATCTATGCATAAAGGAATTCTAACTACTTAATATATCACTGTATTTCAGACAGTGGAATTCTAACATTGTATTTCTGAGAGAGTTGCTCAAGCACAGAGCAGTCATGAAAACACAGATGAAATTGTGTCGTCCATCCCACCCTGACTCACTGCAGATAAAAGAGAATGTATATGTTATATGTATAACATAACATATAATGTGTATGAAAATAAAGCCTTAGCATTCGCAGTCTGAGCTAAAGGGACTCAAAGGTCTATGGGACCTAGAATTTATGTGTTTTTCCATAGTTCACTGTAGACCAGTAAAGATCCATAGAACATTATGGATCACTTTGGTTTACAGTTTGACATGTCTGATCAGTAAAGCTTTATGCTTGATAGGGTTCCAAAATGTCACACTGTAGTTTCCTCCATTATTAGAACTGGAAGCTATTTCAAAAATGTAGAATTCAGTACAGACACACTCAAAAACTGTGTTTTCATTGCAACTACAGTCAGAAGCCTCCACAATGTAAAAGCTGTGTATGTATGTCAACTTTTTGAAACTTCCATCATTGTTCAAAAAAAAGAAAAAGTTGTCTTTGTAAAATTCCCATTAGGTCCTATTTCTAAATCAAAAACACTCAAAGCATATAAATAATACAAATTGATTTTGCTTTGTGGTTTCAAGGCAACTGTAATTTACAGTACACTGTAAAGTTGGGCCCATTCTGATCTATGTTACAATGAAGCGTAGAAAGTTTTCAACAGATACTCTCACACAAATCTCGCAAGTAGTAGCTAACTGGAAATATACAAAGAATGAACTTTAGCAAATACGATTTTTTTAAAAATATCAAAGTATCAATAGTAGAAAATCAATGGCATCCTCTCTTTCATTGAGAATTACAGGAGGTTGGAATAATGGTGTGAAGTTTTGTGAAATGAATAATACAAGCATTGGATTTCTAACTAGAAAATTCTGTGAAGTATCTAGCCAGACACTCATCTTGATTATCAATGTCATTTGGTTGCAGAGCAAATTTTTTTTGCAATAGTATCATGTTCATACCCACATAGTGACTCCTGATAGACTCAGATTTAACATAAGAGCCACCTTGCACATGGTTGGTTATCTAAAAAGGGGGTTTGGCATTAGTGACTATGCTCAATGTTCACAAAGATTTAATGCCAGGCTGAAGTACTCCTATTTGGATGCATATAGAGGGAAGCTGTGGCCTACTATATCTCTGTTGGAAACATTAAGTGGAATAATCCATAGAAAGATCTACAAAATGGCAACAAGGAAGCAGCATGAGTCACTTTTTGGTATTTTAAGAGCTGACACTACATAACCTTGATCGAGACACAGATGAATCTAAATTCCACACCCATTTGTTTGATAGGCTGAATCTTCAGCATATTGAAGGACACTCTGCATTTGAGTAAAACTGTGTGCTTTCCTTTTTTGTATATTGCATGGCAATGCTAAAAAAATAGTAAGTGCAACAAGAACTGAATCTTAGATTACTGTGTGTCAAGGATAATTAGAAACAGAAAACAAATTCTTACTATTTGCTAATAAAGCCTATATGGTGCTTTTTCATTTTTCTACTTACCTATTCTGACAACAGTGTCTCAAAATGTACTACAAAAAAGGAAGCATAGGCTTTGAAGTGAGGCAAAAATGATAAAGAGCTCATCAGAAGGCAAAGAGCTTGAAAATACTAATATATAGTTGGAATACAAATTCTTGTTTCTATAGGAACTGGATAATGGTGCTGAGACAAGTATTGATGTATACAGCCTTCCAATCCTTCGCAATTATACAGAGCTGTGTGAACCATTTTCAGTTCAAATCTCTTTACAAGTTTTGTGAACTATATGATTATCCAAAAAAACTCCAAACCATCCATCAAAAGTGTTCCATCCACATTACAACCTCTCTCGATGAAAAAACATAAGCACGGGTTCAAATACAAAATATTTTGAATGTTTGCCGCTCTCTTTTTGGAGTGAAACACTGCTCCCCTGCAAAGGCGGAGTCAGAACTGCTTTGACTCCTGTTAATTGATGAAAGGACTGAGAACAATACTATAAAGCATGTTCAACAAAATCTTTTGAACCTGTCCAATACGGATAGGAGAAATGTGCTGATTTTCCCAAGTCTCTCAATTACTGTGGATTGTTTAGTGATTGCTAGTAAAGCTCTTGATGCATCCGATCCCCATCCCTATTTTTCCAGCTACCCACTTTTAATATCACATCTTCCTCATACAGATAAATCTTCACTAAAGTCCCATTTCATGCTACTAATAGGACTCAGAACGTTCAGGACAGCTGGAGTGGATTGATAATGAAATGAGTGGGATACACTTGATGTAAAGGCCAAATTGCAATGACACTTGCATGACTGTACAGGAGGGGAGATGGGATTTCTGAAGGTAAGTAATGTCTGTGCAAGATACTGATGTGGTGTTGATGTCATATGTACATTGCTATTTTATAAAAAAGATTGCAACCTTAGGGGAAAAAATGAAAAATTTACCAGCATTCTAGAACTTTGGGGTTTCAAGAATTCCCAAACTTTGTGTACGTCTAGACTACAGGCTTTTGTCGACAGAAGTTTTGTCGACAAAAAGCGTCTAGACTACATCCAGTTCTGTCGACAAAGCAAGCCGCTTTGTCGACACGACAGAACTCTGTCGACAAAAGGCGTTAGTTCTGTCGACGTTATGTCGACAGAACTCAGCAGCAGTATAGACGCAGGTATAGTTTTGTCGACAAAAGTCCACTTTTGTCGACAAAACCCTTTAGTCTAGACACACCCTTTCTGAGACATCCTACTTCCTACACTCGTCTTTGCATAAGGAACATAACATCAATGTCTAAACCTTTATTCTGAATGGTAATCTTGGCAGCTGGTCTTTCAGAGATTATATTTTTAATTCACTACATACTTCAAATACAGTTTCACTATAAAAGCTCTCTCTAATAATCCCAACATCAGTGTATCATTTCAGATTTTATATGGAGGGTATTTTCTGTACAGACTATTACATCTACCTTTCCTTCCATCTTTTCTGCTCTGCAATTATTCTTGCATTTATCCTCCCTGCAGCAAAAGGGCCATTTTTACTCTTGATGTTTTGCCTTTTCTATCTCACATTTTTGGCTAGTACAAAGGGCCTTTGCACATAATGATGGTTCCAGAGACTTTCAAGCACCATCACAAAACACTAAATGGGTAAAGGGATGGGATAAATATCAGTCTTTCAAAAGAAATAAATGGTCTTGCCACCTTTTTCAGGACCATTCATATGGAATAAAGCCACTAATAATATTCTATAGCCTGAGAAATCATCTGTGTTTTGATACTTGCATAGGTGTGAGGAAACAAAAGTACTTTCTGCCTCACAGTGCTCCTGATGAGGATGGCACTCTCACTCCTGGTAACACCACAGATGATTTTTGTTTCTGCTTTACTCCTGACTGCCTCCTAAATTTCTTTGGTCTATATGCACATTGCTTCTGTGCACACATATTCAACACTGTTGAAGAGCAGGATGCATAGAGATTGTTCTCCAGAAATACTCCTCCTGCTGGTGCTGCCATTAATAAGCACAGAACATAAAAGAGATTCTTGCAATACTTCACCCATGGATTTTCTAGAAATCGAAGATCATATGAAAAAAGGGAAAGTCTATTCCTACTCTCACCGACTCCTTTCCAGGCACAGTTTGCTGCTACACATAAATCTCAGATTGAATAGAAGAGCAAAATTATTATACAGCCATTCTATGCTTTATTTCTCAATTCAATAAAAAATCCTGAAGCACCCTAAAAAAAGTTGGCTATGAATAAACTTCTCCTGCTAGTGCAGAACATTCTGCGGTCTCCCTCTTTCTATTTGACAAGAGTGATAAGCACAAGACCTCCACTGTCTGTTGAAGCTGCTGTTTTGTCATTGGGCTGCTGCTCTCATCCTTCCCTGCTCAGAGGAGCAAATCGTCAAGTTCAGGAATGAATTCTGGATTCACAACAATGCACTCATCAAATTCAAACACCACTTTTCTGACACTAGATCATCTCTCAGCATGAAATCTACGCAAGAAACTAAAGTCTGTAGAGTTAAAATTTGCAAAGCAGAACTAACCTGCAAATTTGAGTTTATCATAGCTATTGATATAAGGTATCTTGGGTATTTGCACAAGTAATCAAGTCTATCCTAATGCAATTAACCACCAATTGAGTTTAAAACAATGCTAAATTAATACCCTGCGGTAACCACAGATTTGTCTGAATTGCTAATTGACCACATTAGACACAATTTAAAATATTAATCCATAATTTTAAAACTTTACATTGGGGAAATGGCCACTGTGATTTCAGAGGTGATATCAAAACTAGCACTTTAAAACACATAGATAGCAAAACTATCTGGAGCTGAGCTAGAATCTGTAAAAGCCATGTTATAGCTTACTGCAGGTGATAAAAATCAAGCAGACTACTACTTATAGAAGACTGGGCAACAGCAATAGGAATGGACGGAAGAGATCTTAGAGTGTCAGTCTCCACCACTGAGAATCTAAAGAGCCGAAGAGTAAGGACATGTCCTTTTGTCCCTAAGCCCCAAAATATATTCAAAATAAATAATATTCTAAGACAGTACAAATAAAAATACTGCTCCCATAGTGTCAATTACATACACATACAGCATGCCTACATATACAGAATGGTGTGTCTCTTCATTCACAAACAGGAAATATGGCAGTGCACTATCAGTATGCTTTGATACTCCTAATTTTTTTTTCTGATTCTGAGATATATGAAGAAACCGCATTCACAATTTATTATTTACTTCTAGTAGTAAACAGTTCACTTTGTTCATATTTCATGTGTTAGCTCAAGGATTAATGGTCCTCTGAACAAGTGCTACCAGTAAGATATCCATTTGTTCCATTGGCACCACTGGTCCCATTCGTGGCGGTAGCGTTGTGTGGATTCTTTGGACGAGGTACTGAATCTTCCTCATCTGAACTGGACTCAACATCACTTCGGTCATCCTTTGCTACCTGAAAAATGTGAGAGAAGGAGCATGTTATAGGCTACTGCATGACAACATGATGAAGCACCCATTACTTTACACCAGAATTAGAAAAATTAGAGCCTGAAAGTCTCTTCAATCTAAACTTTAAAAGAGGGCTTAGCCCTGACATGCTTTTGTGCCTTCCTAGGCACTCTTAAGCACTGAAGGGCACAGCACAAAAGCTACTGGTTCACACCTATCACCAGGACACACACGTGTTAGTGTTCAGAAGTGTGCACAAAAATGTTTGCATGTAGGCCATTTGGAATTCTGGCTCTTTACACCATCCAGTCCATCTCCTTGCTGATGCAAGATTATGCTTTACAGTGCTTCTTCTGTTACTTGATCCAGTGTAAAATGTCTCAAATGATAAAGTTTCTACTACTTCCCTTGGCAGACAATTCCACAGCCTAATGGATCAAAGAATCAAAAATGAGTTATCACTTTCTTACATTTCCTCACACCAATTCATCAGAGGCCATTTGGGCTTAAGGACTGGATTGAGCATCAGGAAGCCACGATTCTTTTCCTTGCTCTGCCACTGACCAGCAGCAAGTCACTTCACCTCCATCTCCATCAGATACTTACCCTCCTTGGCAAAGTTCTTTGAAGGTGATGATTGAGAATCATTACAGGAAAGAGCTGGGCATTATTATTATTAATTCTAGTTTTGTCCCTGGCAGTTCCTTGAGAAATTCCTCTTCTCCTCAGTTGTACTCCTCAAATGTATGACTTCAGCCAGAGAGCATATGATATAATGTGGCTCAGCCAACAAGGTAGAGAGTAAATAATATTACAGCTAGGCAACATGAAAGAAAAAATTGCCGTCACTGCCCTGTTTCAGGGCACGTGTGTTTTCTCTGGTAGAGAGGAATGCAGTGCCAGCATGGACAGCAAGCCATGAGAGGGCAAATCAGGGAAGGTGTATAAGGTCCAGCCATCAGGCACTAATGAGAAGAAGTCTGCCAGCCAACAGTGGTGTGCAACTTTCAAGTTTTCCTTCCATGTTTGGTTCTATTAATATATGGACATGTATTAAGCAACCACCTATGCTTAGAAACATGGATACTAGCTTTCTTCAGTGTGATAAATTCGTATGAATTGGTTGGGGGAAAATAACAGCTGAAGAAATTATTTATCTGAAATGTTTACAGTGCTCTTGGGTAAGAAACTTACCTCTACTTGTTTCAGTTTTTACAGGGTTCCTTCCGCGTTCTTGGAGAAGTACTGATTATCTCCCCATCTGTCCCCTCTTAATAGCCCAACTGCTTTGAAGGCTCAGAGAGCAACCATCATCTTTGCAATTAAGAATGACTGACATGACTCCCTTCAGACCATGTTTGTTAATTGGCCAACAGAGACTAACAGCGCTAGGAACACTTGGGAGTTCAAAGTATCTGCTAATAAGTACACTCCCTAATGCCAACATCCAACAGTGCTGCAATGATGGACCTTTAAAAATCAGACTTCTGCTCAAGTCAGAATTTTGATTTTATGCTCCCCAATGAAATATTATTATGGACTCTTTCACATAATATGGGGAACTAATATGTTAAAGCTCTTGAAATAAAATGATACACTTTGAATTGCACTTTAGCCAAACACAAGTTATGTGCTCAATACCGAGGTTAGTGGGTAAAATGAGTGGATGATTTCAAAACTAGCAGTTCGTTTAACTCTGTAGCAGTAACAATAACTTAACAGTTTTCTTTGAGGGAATTATTTTAAATTCAATTCTTTAGTTAACTGACATGCACGGAAATACACAACCAGAATGGTGCCAGAGCAGAGGGTTAGGCTACTCTATAGTTTATTATGTTTATTGGTATTAAAGTAGCTAGACCACCCCCACCAGGACTGGAGTCCTTTGGAGGTTAGGCACTGCCAGTGCTTAATTTGTAATGAAAGAATTGCTGGGGCTCACACAATTTTTACTTTCATGACAAGCCTAGGTGTGCTGGGGCCAGGCACACAAATGGGGGAGGAGACAAAGAGAACAACTTCCCTGGGGCCCAGCGATTCAAAGGGGCCAAAGGTTACCACCACCAGGTGGCAGCTGGAGTCGTGGGACTTTAAAATGGCTGCTGGAGTTCCGTTCCCTGCTCTAGAGCCCTGGAGCTCTAGAGGACTGGGGCAGGGGCAGGGGCAGGGCATGATCTGGGCAGCGCTAAGGGCTGTCTATTCCTGGCCCACCCATTCCCAGAGCATAGAGCCACTCCCCACCTTGCCCCGGGACCTGGCGAATCTGTCAGCTCTCCTGGGTGGGGCTCAGCCTTGGCAACTAGGGTTGCCAACTTTCTAATAGCACAAAAATGAAACACCATTGCCTCACCCCAACCCACTACTTCAAAGAGGTCCCTCTGTCCCTTCCCCCTTCTTTGAGGCCCTGCCCCTTCTTTGAGGCCCTGCCCCCACTCACTCCATTTCCCCTCCCTCCATCGCTTGCTCTCCTCCACCCTCTCTCACTTTCACTGAGTAGGAACAGGGGTTGGGACGCAGGACGGGGTGTGGACTCTGGGATAGGACTGGGATGAGGGATTTGGCGTGTGGGAGTGGGATCTCAATTGGTGTCATAGCGAGCCTCAGGCAGGCTCCCTGACTGATTTAATTCCATACTGCTCATGGATGCAGCCAGCATGTCCAGACCCTTTGCAGAAGGGCTACGTGGAAGCTGCAGAGGTGGTTCTGGGATGGGGCCAGTGTGCTGTGGTCGCCGCTCCACCTAGGAGCCAGATAGAAATGCTGGCCACTTCTGGAAGCTGTGCAGAGCCCAGGGAGGCAGAGCCTGCCTCAGCCCTGCTGTGCCCCAGCCAGCAGTGCACCCAGAGCCTTTTTGACTGGGCATTCTGGTTGAAACCAGAGGCCTGGCAACCCTACAGGTAAGCAATGGCACAAATTAAGCACTGGACATTGCACAGACACAAAGTTAGAAAGAGACCCTGCCGCTAAACACAGCCTATGCGAGAAGCAGGTGTAACAACGAGAAGAGGTAGGATGGAACATAGGGAAAAACAAAACATAGATTTGAATAGCATCTGTCTTTCACACAGCAGAATCAGAGAAACTTACATGCAAAAGGTTCCACTTCCCAGCCTTCCCGGACAGCACAAGGAAAAGGATAAACAAGTAGAATAAGAAAGTCACAGGGATGTTGGTGTGACATCACTGGCTTAAGTGAAACAGGATCACTGAGGGTTAGAATTGCGAAAGCAGAGGTGTCCCAGCTGTGACCCTCAAACTAAATACAGACAATGGCAGTACATATCTTTAATACAGAGAGCACAGATGATATAAGGGGACTCAATCCAAAAAGGAGGTGAGCACTTTGCCTGCATTCTTGTAAAGCAGTTAAGCACAGGAACAGTCCCATTCATTTCAGTGGGATCACTCACATGCTTAAAGTTAAGCACATGCTCAAATGCTTTGTACCTTGTTAGTTTGGGCCCTCAGACTGGATGACTCAGCATCCAGATTTAGGCTATTAGCAAGGGGATAAAATGGTGTCCTTGGCCTCTGTTTGTCAGAGGCTGGAGAGGGATGGCAGGAGACAAATCGCTTGATCATTGTCTTCGGTCCACCCTCTCTGGGGCACCTGGTGCTGGCCACTGTCAGCAGACAGGCTACTGGGCTAGATGGACCTTTGGTCTGACCCAGTACGGCTGTTCTTATGTTCAGATTTGTTTAATCTAGACATACTGTATACTTGGATTTGTGGTCACTGTGAACTACACCCCTGCTTTTAAATACAAGGGTGGCAACAATGAGTTAATTTTGTACAAAGAAGCATGGCCCTTCGGCTCCTAGAAAGTGCCAGCATGACTCTGTTACTCAAAAGGCTCTTGATGGGTAAGACTCTAAGGAGTTGAGACACATAGCTCTGCCATTTACCAAAGTGCTATGACAGGTTTCAGTTGATTATTCTTTTCTGTTGGGAGGCAGGGTTTTTTTCACCAAATATTCTAAGGAAGGAACTAAAGCAGAATTGGCAGAATGAAGACAAGTGCTATTAACACAGCTGCTAAATGTATAGAGGGATTTAACACCTATTTTTTTAAAAGGAAGCTTTAATCACAACATAATCCTAGTCTTAAAAAATGCATGTATTTGGAGTTTGCAGATCTAATACATTTGTTATCAAGAATACAAAGCTAGTTAGCTTTCCATTAAAGGAAGGAAAAGTATATCACAATACAGCATTTGTCCTCAAGTCTGTGTTACAGGTCAAAAAAAGAACAAATTGCTGGACAATTACTAAGTGCTATTTACTAATTTTAAAAACATTACAAACAAAAATGTTTACTGTGAAACATCAGACAGTGTTTGTGTCACCTTACCTTGCCTCTGGAGATAGCTTTATAAGCTGCTTTTATGATTAGATAAGACCAGAAACAGTGCAGGACTTGAAGTACCATGAGCAATAGGTTAAAGAACCACAGGGCAGGAAAATTGCCCAAAGCTTCATACAATTCAAACAGCATTGAGTTTAATATCCTAAAAGAGAGAGGGAGAAAAAAGTACTTACATTTTGTTTGAATCAACAGTGATCTAAAAAGCAGCCTTTTTCTTCTTAAGATGACAAATATTTGATTAGGCAGTATACATACATATATTCAACCCTCAGCTTTATAATGTGTAAGACTGAATAGCACTGGAAGAGGAGTGAGAATCATCTGTGCCTCTTGTGTCTCCTGAGGTAAATGACTGAATACATCACCTTCCCTATTTAATTTCAACCAGCCAATATCACGTGGAGAAAGCAAATGTTCTACCCTTATCCTTTTCTTTTCAGAGCTGGTGAGTTCAAAGACAGGGGTTTTCTCTAATACCTCTTTTTCCTGGACAATCCTAGAGATATACCAGCTTCCCATTCTTCAGATTATTCTCCTTTTCATGCAGAGTATGCACTTTCCATCAGGCCCATCACAGGTTAACAAAGAAACACTTAACCTGTAATTTCCAGGTAACCTAATTCCTCTGAGGAGGAGGGACCTTAAACTGAGATTATACTTGATACAACATACAGTCACCAATACTCACCCATTGTACTGGTGTAATGAAATGATAGTTTTCCCCTTCTCTGAAAGGGATTTGTCTAATTTAGAGCAAAAATGTATATAATAAATCATAACCGATACTGGCAAGTTGCAATCAAACTGCCTATCAGTATTAAATGATAGGACAGTAAATTCATTATTAGAGCATTTGTCAATACTATTTACAATCCTATTAAGTTTTTACTATAAATTCCCATTCATAACATGAGCAAAATCTTCAGTGATGTTTGTTGATCTTAGCCTATTCTAAGAGATTATTCAAGTAACACGAGACTTCAAGCAATAACCTGCCTATGATAGTTCTCAGAGTACAATAGGAACGGATTCATTCATCACTTGAAAACTAATATAGAGCAGGATACAAAGTGGGTCCTAACGAAGGGTGAGGCAGTAACCAAAACAAGAGATTGAGCAATAATAGGAGGCAGGTAGAAGAAATAGCAGTACTTATGGCAACATGGCTGTCTAGGAATGTTCGATATGTTCAGGAGTCAATTTAAAAATGGAGAAGATCATGCGGTTTTCTAACATCCCTTCTACACCATACCTCTGCTGATATATATAGTATTGGAAAGTGAACTGCATTAATATTTTAAAAATTAACTATCACTACATAACCAGTAGATGGCACATTTACTCAAGCTAACAAAAGCACACTTCAATCCGCTCTTGTTATATCGTGTTTTGCTAGTTTTCCATATTGTAATGTCATATAGGGCTTTAGAATAGTTCAAATCTCATTCTTAGACTGAACCACCAGCCTGTGTTTGAATTCTGACATATCTTGTGCACTTCAAGAATTCTTTTTACTAAAAACATGTGTGCACAACAACTGTTACTATCAATGGAAAATATCCAAATGCAACAAACTACACCCTCTAATATTTATGATTTAATTAGTATAAAACTGTTTCAGTTATAATTAGCAGATTTCTAATAAGCAATCTTAAGAAGATTAGTTTTAAAGCTGTAGCACATCAAATTGCTTGTTTGATTCTATTTAACATTGCTCCTTTTTTTTTTAATCCCCGGTCCCTGATGCTGAATTGTGTTTGCTCCATAAATCTTACAATGCTTTTTGTGAGAGATGGAAGTTTCATTGCCTCATTATACCGTTTTACTTTTACAATGCTTTCTGTTTATGGAATAAACATTAGACAATGAAAGAGTTTGCAGTTATGGCTAGACATTTGGTATATCATTACTAGCTAAGATTTATAGTCTTCACTTTGTGCAATTTGTTCTGTCAACAATAGCACTAACTGGCAAAGTAATGTCCTGCTTCTTAATCTAAGGTGACACTTACCATGCATATCAAAACATAGTTTTAGTCAGCTTTGCTTATTTCATTTCATTTCATTTCATTTCATGGTAGTTATTTCAGATATAATTGCAATATCAAACTCTTTTTAAAATAAGCAGTTCTTTCATATAAAGTTACTCTCACTACATTGACTCTCCTTTTTGAAATCTAAAATCTTACATATTCCAGAACTGTAAGAGTAGTTATGCTTCTACTTACATTTAGATTCCCTGGACCAAATTCATCCCTAGAATAATTCCACTGAAGACAATTCAGTGAAGTTGAACCAGGGATGAATATGGCCCATTCTAACAAAGTCTGAAATCTTTGGCTAGGCAGGTCATGGAGAGCATATCTGAGTCCTAAAGCAATTTTGCTGCACAAATGAGTTACCTGCTGGATATCAGAGATGAGAAATAAGAACTATCAGAACCCTCTCAGATCTGCTGATGTCTGACACATTGAGCAATAAAACAGAACTTTCCATTAAGTGTCTGATATTTTGCACAAAGATGATTGTACTGACTACTCAAAATGAAATTTAGGGACAGTGACATAGTACTATGTGGTAGGCATGGGAGGGACAACTGGGCCTTTAAAGATAAATTTTACACAATTCTCAAGCACATAATGAGAAACAGAAGTAGAATATGAACACAGAAGACTACAGAAATATCACACAGGTAAAGAATTGGTTAATGCCCAAAAAAAGACTATCCAATTTTGGAAAGGTTGTGTAGGGATCAGCTGGTTAGGTAGGAGCAAATATGATGACAGCTGGTACTACATTTATACAGGCCAGGCCACTAAACTCCCCAAACCTCCATTCCAACTTCCATTCCTCTAAAGACTCATTTGAACTCTATTAAATTATATATACAAAATAAACATGTGGCTAGACTAAAGAGAGAGCCCACAGTGGCAATCACACAACTAAGTGGGTTCCAGGTAAAATTTTCAAAGAGGCCTAAGGACCAGATTTTTTACCTATTTGGGTGCCTAAAACTGCAGCAAGGCACCCAGTATGATTTTTAAATGCGTCTAGGTGTTTAACTCTCACATTTTCACAAGTATCTATTGATTGTGGATGTTTCTATTTCTGGTCTGACTGATCTAAGACAATAGACTTGATTTTCAGAGATGACTTGGTTAGAGCGGTTTGTGCTCTGTACTTGTGAAAAATCAGGCCCAAGATGCCTAAGCTAGTCACATAAAAACTTAGTGTCACACACAGACACACACACACACACACACTACTTCTGAAAATTTAGCCCTAGGCAACTTGTCCAAGTTTGCAATTGAACAAGGAACAGAACCCAATTCTCTTTGTGTCAGTCCTATATCAAATATTTCCTCTTCTCTTGCTAAATGCATTGCTAAGAATGCCATGTGCAAGTGGCAGCAATTAAATGAACACTCCTTTTAGTGTCCTGAATTAAGTAATGTGGTTTTGGATCAAACTGAAATTGATTAGTTTTATTGCAATGGGACTGATGGGAACAGATATAAGCCATCAGAGAGTGATCCAGCTTCCACAGAAGTCAATGGCTAAACTTTCAGTATAATCTACTATATATTTGAGTTTGTCTGTCTATTTACTCAAGAACTCCTCCTAAAGGGTAAGAGCTAAGACACCAAATTTAGTATGCTCTTATCTTACCTTAAAGCTAGATAAGGATTTGGTTTTGTGTGTGTGTGGCCTGAAAACCATACAGAAAAGAGACAAAATCACCAGGCACCAGGTAAAAGGACTAGCATGGGGGTGAACCCCCACCCTGTCCAAGATAGGGATGTAAGTGACTAGTAGAGTCGACTACTTGAATTCCCCCTCACCACTGCCTCTGTATCAGGGGCAGTGTGTGTGTGTTGGGGGAGGGGGAGGAGAAGCAGGAGCTGGTGCTGGGAGGCGCTGGCTTAAAAGCTGATTTCCCCCCAATATGGTCTCCATGGTGCTGCGTATCCCCTCCTCCCCCCAGGTAGTAGCACCGGGAGAGGTTCATGTGAGGCTGCTGAGAAGCAGCTTCAGGGGCTATTGGATGTAGCACAAGCCTGTACCTGGCTCCTACTACATTTAAACTGCAATTATTACCTGCCAATTATTTACCTCTTCTCATCCTTAGTCCAAGGACTGCCTCAGTCTCAAGCCTTCCAACGCCCTGGTATCCTTTAGGGAGGGCAGGAAGCTGCAGCTTCCCTGACATTCGGACAGAAAGATTGCTGGTTGTTTCACTTCACCGGGAAGGGAGGAGAAAATGCAGTTTCCTCCTTTCCTCTATCTGGCTGAGGAGTACAAGAGGCAGATGAACCTGGACATGCCAACCAGGGGAATATGCACCACTCCCCCAGCTGTGCACGCTGGAGCTGCAGTGGTCATGGACAGGCACTTCTCACCTGGCAGTCAAATGTAGTGTTGAGTGGGGCCTAGGGTTGTCCTCTCCCCCTGGGGCAGCCTGCATATTGAACCCCTCATCCCCAGCCCCAGCCTGTGGCAATGATTGAAATGAGGAAAAACAAAAATTGAGTTAAGCACCCAAGCAACACCAAGTAAATCTTCTAGTGTTTGTATAAACAGATCTATTCCTAATAAATTACTGTAGTCAGAGATTCAGACAAAGAACAGAATTTACTGGCACACACACACACACGATTAAACTAACAACTGCATCACAACAGCAATACAAGGTTTTCCAAACATCTAACTCTTTGGTCAACTAAGCAATACTTGTAATTTGGTCAACTAAGCAATACCTCTAATTTTGTCCATCCATGTGCAGACTAAATATTGTCATGTGCACCGAGGCATGTGCAGATGTGCACCACCAATAGAAACATATGCTGCTGGCTACATCTATGCTACGGAGTTTTTTCAGGATACCGGTGGTATCCAGGACAAACTCAGCCATGTCCAGGTAATGTGTCTGCTCTTCCAATTTTTTTTTGGAAAAGCAGATGCACTCTTTTGGAAGTCCTGTAAACCTCGTTTCATGAGGAAGAAGGGCTCTTCCAAAAGAGGAGGATTTTCTGAAATTTGGCCCAATATAGATGGGCCAAATTTCAAAAAAGCCTTTTCCAAAAAAAGAATCACAAAAAGGTATGCAAATTGCAGACCACTATTTGCGGAAGTTTTTCCAAAA